AATTCAATGGGTATTTACTGGCTTGTTTTGTTGAATAATTTCCCCCTAAAAAGGGTCGTTTCCTCCCGCATTTTCTTTAGTTCTTTAATTCAATGAGAGAAACAAGCAGATGCTATCATCAACTCAAGAGATTTCGAAAACGGACAAATATTCACAGAAAAATCAAGAAACCAAACAGAAGAGTTGGAAAAAGAAGTTGCAAGCTGACCATGGGTCTGAAGCCTACCGCAGGGAAGGACAAGGGAGAGGGGTCAAAACGGCTGGGGAGGGCACCGGGACTGTGGTGGGGGAACTATCCGATGACAATGGAGGGAGAAACCGAATACTGTACAAAAACGAACAATGATGTAAGAAAAAACTTTTTTAAGGACAAATTTATATTGCAACGGAGCAATGTTGGAAGGAATGTACAAAGGGATAGATACCATCAGCAAGGTTTGACCATCCAGCTGACAGAACGAACTTGCATGGCTACAGACAAGCATGTATCTGATATGCACAGATAATGCTGTATCCGTCCAGCCACCATAGCTTGTAGGGCGCATCGGAGACGAGGGGGGCTGAAACCGGAAGGGTGTGCTAGCAAGATAATGTCTAATTTGCCACTGAAGCACAAGTTCCTCTACACTCCATTACCTGTCTTACACCGCTAAGCAGGGACTTTGGCTTCACACTTCTGTTCCCCCAGCACCTAGAATAGTGCCAGTAAAAATCTGTTGATTGGGCAAATGGGCAGTGGAAACAATAAGAAGCCACCATGCTAACTTAGGCCCCCTGATCTGTGTCTTGCTGGCCTTCTGTCATGTAGCTGCTTGTAAAACATTCCATATGGGAATTAGGATAAAACTGCTGCTGTGGAATGGTAAGGGACTGAGCTGCCTACTGAGTACCAGGTTCTACATTAGTTGTTTTTTTTTTTTTAAGATTTATGCACACAAGAACTGGGGTACAGGGCACAAGTATGGGGGGTAAGAGGACTCCCCAGAGACAGAGTGGGGAGCAGAACAGGCAGACTGACAAAGTACACTGCTGAGGGGAGCAGCGGGTGAGACAGGAGAGGTCAGCTGTGCCATGTGGGTCACCTCCCTGGCCGGGGGTTGAACTCATGCTGCAGTGGCTATGGGGAGCCCCATAGCACTGTGCTTTAACCCGTTGTGCCATCAGGGAGGGACCCTTAAATTTTTTTAATGTAAAATGTATTTCCTCTGCCTATAAAGGAAAAGCCATCAGGCTGACATCAGACTTCTCCGAAGATACACTACAGACAAGAAACCCATCCTTCTGAAATGCAGAACTTGCCCTTTTGGGCTGCCTGTCTGTGACTGGGCAGGCTTCTCTGCTTTCCCCCTTTTCTTTAATAAACTGGCTGTGTGCTGATGAACAGGAATGTCTGCTGAAACCCTTGTCAGAGCAACCCAGAACCCCAAGCACTGAACCCCATCTTTTGAACACATCGGTCACATATACTTGATGAGCTTTCAACATATACCCTTAAAATATACAGTGTGGTTCTCACCCCAGTGAGAATGGCACATCTTCAAACAACTAGCAACAACAAATGTTGGCGAGGATGTGGAGAAAAAGGAACTCTCCTACACTGCTGGTGGGAATGTAAACTAGTACAACCACTATGGAAAACTGTTTGGAGGTTCCTCAAACTGCTAAACATGGAGCTTCCCTACGACCCAGCCATCCCACTCCTAGGTATCTACCCAAAAGACACAAAAACACTGATTGAAAAAGATACTTGTACCCCCATGTTTATTGCTGCTTTATTTACAAATGGAAAAACATGGAAGCAGCCCAAATGCCCAAAAGTAGATGACTGGATTAGAAAGATGTGGTACATATATACAATGGAATATTACTCAGCAACCAAAAAAGAGAAACACATGTCTTTTGCAGCAACTTGGATGGAGCTGGAAAAGATCATGCTTAGTGAGATAAGCCAGAAAGAGAAAGAAAAATACAGGATGGTGTCACTCATAGCAGGAGTATAATGGACCAGGCGAGAAAATAACAAAAATAATGAACAACCATATACCAGAGACATTTTGTGGGGGTGGAGTGGGGAATGGGATCAAAAACGGGGGGTGGGGGGGAAGGGGGGGAAAAGCACGGGACTATGATGGTGGCACAGGGGTGATTTGGTGATGGGAAACCCGTGGGGATTACAATCGAGATGGAAAAAAAAAATGTGCAAAATGATGTAAAAATAAACTTTGTAATAAAAAAAAATTTTTTTAAATAAAAAAAAATATACAGTGTGGTAATCCAACATCACCTCAGTAATAACAAAAATGTCGTCTTAGCAGGGAAAACCAGCAGAGAGTGCAGAGCACAGGGCCTGGTCCAGTCAGGCTCTGCTTCAGTAGATCTGAAGTGAGGCCTAAGAATCTGTCTTTCTAACTAGGCCCCAGGACCTGCAGCTGCTGTAGTGACCACAGCTGAGAGCTTCTGGGGTAAGGGAGTGGGAAGAAAGCAGTTCAACTCAGTGTAAGGGTCAGTGTGTACACTTTGCATTCAGACAAAATGGAGACCTTTCTAGGCCCCTTTTCCGTGCTTGGGCAGGTCTTCCTGTCCAAGGTCACCTCTGCCTTTCTATCTCCTTTATGTAGAGTGTGCAGCTGCTGATCTGTCTCCACTTTCTGGGCCATGTGCTTTTATGGGGAGGGGCCATGTCTAATTCATCCTAGTTCTGACACTTAATAGGCTGTAGAGTAAGTGAAGTTATTAGGCTTTGTTCTGCCCTCCCAACCGCTAGCCCCTACGACCACCACCTAAGGTCTTGCCCTCCTAGTTCGCATTGACACCCAGGGCCGAGGGACACGGGCAAGGGGCACACACACCTTTGATTATGGACACCTGGGCCCAAAGAGCACAGGCATGCCCCGTGCAGGTGCTCATATCCATGCCAAAGGAGGAAGGATACAGGCAGCGGCGGCACAGCTGAGGCAACACTGTGAGGTAAAACAAGAAAATGCCAGAGAGAGGCCAGAGGAAAGAGAGCAAAGGTCGGCGGGTTGCGGGGAGGCTCGATTGCCAACTGCCTTCCAGCCCCGCTGCAGGGCCCACACCTGCCTTCTTGCTTGCCCTGTCTGGCTCGCCTGTGTACCTGGTTCCCTGATCCAACATTAAAGGCCTAAAAGTCTGTCAAGGGCTCTGGGACTCTGCCCAAATTGACAGTGAACTGTTGTACACACTTGCACAACATAGGCACAAAATGATATGGTGGAACCAGAATCCTCAGTCACTGCCTCCCTAGTAACAGGCGGGAACTGGCTGCATCCCCATTCCTTCTTTTCCCATTGCATACCTTTGCAAGTTCTGTTCCCTTAACCTCCAGTGTCCTCCCTCTGTTGTCTGTCAAACTAACTCAAGGCTGAGGTATTTATTTAGCAACTGAAAATATAGGCAGCCCAATGAAATATCAATTTCAGACCTATAGCAAATAATTTTTGAGATAAAACTAACATATAGCTTTAGAAGCAGTTTCAGAACAAACTGACTCACTATTTGTAAATGTCACAAAATGATCATTATAGTAAGGGACTATCCATCATCAGCTATTTTTTTCTCCTTGTGATGAGTTTTAAGATCTACTCTTAGAAAGTTTTTTTTTTTTTTAAGATTTATGTATTTATGCATACAGAACTGTGGTACAGGCCAGAGGTGCAGGGGTAGTGAGAGGATTCACCAGAGACAGAATAGGGAGCAGAACAGGCAGATTGATGAACTACACTGCTGAGGGAAGCAGCGGGCGGGTAAGGAGAGGTCTGTCGGGCCATGTGGGTCACCTCCGGGGCTGGGGATCGAACTCATGCTGAAGTGGCTTTAGATTCACAGTACTGTCTTTTAACCCACTGTGCCACCAGGGAGGGTCCTACTCTTAGAAACTTTCAAACACACAAGACCGTATCATTAACCATAGTCACCATGCTCTACAGGAACCCCCAGAACTTCTAACTGGGGGTCTGTAACTTTTGACCACCTTCACTAATTTCCCCCATACTTACCTACCTTTAAATATGTTTTAGCACAAGTATGTGTCAAGTATTCTATGGGACAAAGTTACATTAAAAATTATTCACTATCTGAAATCAAAAGCGCAATTGGGACTCCCTGGTGGCGCAAGGAGTTAAGGCTCTCAGGACTATGAAGCTATCCACAAATGCTGCAGCACGAGTTCAATCCCCAGCCAGGGAAGCTGACCCACAGGGTGCAGCAGACCTCGCCTGTCTCCCTGTTGCTCCCCTCAGCAGTGTATTTCAGTAGGTCCACCTGTTCTGCTCCCCTGTCTCCGGTGAATCCTCCCCCTGCACTTCTGGCCTACACCTGTTCTTGTATGCATAAATAAATCTAAAAAAAAGAAAAAAAGGTAAGGAGCAATGACCGCAGTCTGGCCAGAGCCTTCCTTGTCTGGCTAACCAGACCAGGACATCTGTATTCCCGCATCACTTTGCTTGACATTCTGCTACCATAGCCACACTTCTACTAGTGGTTGTCTGTCTCCCATGTGACTGACCTCTTTGAGGAAGGGGGTTAACCTTTTCATCTTTTTTTTTTAAAAGATTAACAAACTGAATGAATGAATGAAACAAACATCTATGGACTGAGCAGCCACCGTCGAGACCTTGTCTTACAGGTCACACATCAGATGTTTTTCAGATGAGTGAAGACAGGATTGAGTGGCTTGGCCCTAGGTAGAGAAGGTGCCCACCAACAGGGCTGGATTGGCCCATGGAGTCAGGACTGGGAGGAAGATGTTAGAGGACAGAGGTAAGGGGGCTCCAGCCTGGACAGAAAAGCTGTGATCTTAGTTAACATCCTGCCCAGATATAAAGGACCAGTTTGCAGAGCCCAAGGCTCATAATTAGCACAAGTGCCAAGTCAAACTTGTGCTGAATTCTGAATTGAAAAAACATTGGTATTAAGTGTGTCACTAATGAAAATGTTAAAAAAAAAATTCAGATGAGCAAGTTTTAAAGATCTTACTGGCTTTATTCAATGACTCACAAATCAGGCAGCTTCAAGTCTAGCAGACAGGAGTTGGAGGAGCCATACACAGCAAAGGGACGCGAAGTGGGAACACAGAGGTCCTAGCAAACAGCAGATGGGTGTGGCAAGGTCGCTTTCCTCAGGGCTGGCAGGGGTCTGAGCAGGCTGTTCCTGCTTGACTGGTTTCAGACTTTATTTTTTGGAGAAGATGAAGCTCTAATTCAGTCAGTTTGGTGATATGGGGCTTAGCGTAGGTGACTCCATTTTAGGCATGTCATCTTTTCTCTAAACTTAACTGAACACAGTGACTGTGGCAGTCAGCCTGGATACACTTGGTTGCATGTCCTGACCACACGATTTAATCACAGATGTTCTGTGATTAGTATCTCTTGAGCACTTCCTATGTTAACAGGCCCCATTCTTAGCACAGGGTTGATTAGTATCTCTTGAGCACTTCCTATGTTAACAGGCCCCATTCTTAGCACAGGGTTGGGAGGGGGGCGGTGGACAGTGGTAAACAAGACAGATAAGGTCCCTGTTCTCATGCAACCTTGCACCTGGCACCACACAACGAATCACTCACACAATTCCAGTTGTGTGCTGTGGAAGAGAACAAGGAGCTGATGATTAAGGACAAAGACTTTCTAGAAGAAAAGTCAGAGGTGAGAGGGGAGCTGACATCTGAAGGCTAAGACAGAAGTTATTCGGCAAAGGGAAAGAAGGGGTGGCTGAGAGCAATCTAGAAAGCAGAGCAGCAAGGAGGCAAGAAGGAACCCCACTTGCCCAAAGACCTCAAGAAGGCCCAGGTGGCAGAACAGAGAGAAGGGTGTGTTCAAGGCAGGAACAGGAGAAGTGAAGGCCAGGCAGGGGTCAGCCTACACACAGGAAATGGGGTTCAGCCATGACAAGAAACCTCCTTGTGCCTGTCATCTCCTATAGGGGTGCCCTGCTTCTGGCCCTGCTCATCTCTCTCAGTGTAGCTGCTAGCATGGTCTTTCAGAAAAAATAAAACAAATCTGATCAGGTCACTTCCTACTTAAAACATTTCAATGGCTCCCGACCTTGCACCTTATAGAGACCCAAGTTGGCAGCTCCAGGCCAACTATGATTGTGACGGTGTTTTCCCCCCACAATTTCCCTTTACAAAGCAGCAGCAGCTCTCCTGCCCACCTGTCTGTGCAGGTGCCTCTCCTTATCTTTCTTTTTCCCAATAAAATGTCTTTAAAATATAAAGGGGAAAAAAAAAAGGCCCAACTCATTTTCACTAACTGAACCCCTGCTTTGTTAGGTTTTTAAAGCTCGCTGTGGGCCCCATCAAGACCCTCAGAAGAGCTGGCCCTGCCTTGGCCAGGGCCTGACTGCTCTTGGGGAACTTCCACTGCCCCAGAATGACAGGCTGATGTGTTCAAGAAGGGGGAAGTTGGCGGAGGAGGGCGCTTGAAGAGTTGCTCGCCTTGGGGGAGAGCCTCAAAGAAGGGGCGTGTGCAGAGGCCGACTGCTTCTCAACCACTTCTTCTACCCCTCGCTCCCCCAACCGCTAGGGCTGCCCTGTGACCAGAAGGGGGCCACTCCACGCTGTTGCCGATGGTGGAGTCAGTAGAGCAGAGATGGAAAGACCCAGCAGCCACACTGATGTCACTGCACACTTAATTAACCAAGCCTGGTGCCCACCTTGCACTTCCTGTTTTGAAGGACACGAACTCTTCCTTAAGCTGGCTTGAATCTGGAGTTGGTGACTGGCATCAGATGGCACCTGACCCCCTGAACCGGGCCGTCGGATTTCTCGACTGCTTCTTCTACCGCTCCCCCAACTACCCTCAGCTCTGACCCCGTCAGAGGTTGTGTAGTTCTCTTTTCACCTCTTTGCTTGGAATACTTTTCCAAGGCTGTCCATACTGAAGAATGCAGGTGCGCTTCTCTGGCTCCTGTCTTTTCCAAGACCTGGTTTTGGCTTTTCCACAGAGTATCGACTTTCATAAAGAAACTCCCCATGAAGTGAGAGTTCCCGATAAACCTAAGCTAGGCAGAGCTGGTTTCTATGGCTTGCAGCCAGAGAACTTTACCTACCCTTTCGCGCAAAAGTCTCCAAGTGGCTCAGCAAACCTCTCCACGCTCCCCCAGACAAGGTAAATGTATTTGTTTTTAATTGCGCAACAATTTATCTCCAAACCAAGAGCTCTAAATAATAAGCAAACATTTATTCTCATAATCTGAGTGTGGCTCAGGCTGAGAGTGGCTCTGGCTCAAGATCTTCCCTGAGCATCGCAGTCAGGATGAGCTCCCCAGGCTGTTGGCAGGAGGGCTCAGCTCCTGGTCACGGGACCCCTCACCAGCGCTGTGTGCATGTCCTCATGATGTGCACACTGGCTTTCCTGGGAGTAAGGCACCCCAGCACTAGGTGGGAGCCGTGTGCCCCATTCGCTGTGTCTGGGAGCTGTCTTGGAATCCTGTTGCCACATGGGGGTTGGGGGTCAGTTTAGTGGCCCACAGGGGGCCTTGGGCTCAGTCATCATCCTCTATTGACTTTAGTTCTTGCTATTCACCCCAAGACCACCTCACTCAGAAATACGCAGAGTGCCTTTCAAGTAATGGGTGGAAGGAGCATGTGGATATGGAGAAGGAGGTAAGACAGGTGGGGTGAAGGTCCCTGGCCCAAGGACCAAGTCTGGAGCACTGGAAGAGAGAACAGACGAGCTTGAGGGGAAGGAGACAAAGGCTGCCGGAGGACAATCAGTGCAAAGCAGTTCCTCTTGGGCAGGTGAGCAGCTTCTCCCTTTACAATCTGGCACCCATGTCAGCCCTGCTTGTGTCAGTCCTGCCTTTCATGGCTCCAACTCCAAACTGTACCCCAAAAACAGGATCCATGAGCCAGTTCTTGCTGGGTTATGGGCTGAACTGTCTCCTCGAAATTCCTATGTCGAAGCCCTAAGAGCACCTCAGAATGTAACCTATTTTGGTTACAGCTTTGCGGAGGTTATTAAGTTAAAATGAGGCTGGGAGGGAGGCTTAAGCCAAGCTGGCTGGTGTCCTTACCAGAGGACACTCAGAGGCAGCAGGAAGGCCCAGGTGAGGCCACGGCCAGAAGGCAGACATCTCATCCAAGGAGAGAGGCCTCAAGGAAAACCACCTCTGAGGCCTTGAGCTTGCACTTCCAGCCCCAGAACTGTGAAGAGAGAAATTTTGGGCTATTTACACCCCCAGTCTGTGGGCTGTTGTTACGGCAGCCCCCGTGGACCAGGGCACAAGTCCTCCGGTTTCTAACCTCTGCTGTGTGCTGTGTCACCGGACATGAAGCTCCCTTCCAGAGTCAAGGAGCTGAGGGGGGCTGCACCTCCTTGGCCAACCCACGAGGACGGGTCTGTGGTGGAGCCGTGCTGTGCTCATGGGCACAAAGTCTGTTTCCACTCTTGCTTCCCTCCTCAAGTGTCCTGACAGGCTCAGGTCTCCTGCTCCTCCTCTCTGCAGGCAGCTGCATGCGTCCAGGTTCCTGGGACATCTCCCCCAGAACGCGCCTCTCTCTAGCTGGAAAGCACCTTCTGGATGCGTTCCCGCACTTCCTTTGGGCCCAAGGACACCATCATCTCAGCTACTGGCGGTCCTTGCTAGGAGCAGGAGAAGAAATTATTGCCAACCACTGCCCAGGGGACTAAGACCCCCCCAAATAGAAGTCTTGGCCCAGGCTGGCCCCGCACTATGGCCTGTCTCCCCAGTAGCTGGGTTTGCGTATTGTCTTATTTTGTGGCTGTAGAGTGGGCCCTGGATGCCTCTTTCCCTCAGACTGAGACATCTGCTACCCCCAAACCACCAGCAGCCCCTTGAGAGGCAGGGGGGTATACTTTTCATTCACAGCTGTATCCACATGCTTGCATGTAGATGATGACTATGTCATTTTCAAATGAGGACAGCAGGTAAAGGAGCCTGGCATCAGGTAGAGAGTGGGGAGTAAATGCTGCCCCTTGAGTAACTGAAGGACGGATGTGACCGGTACCATGCATCTCAGTATCCCCTAAGCTGCCCTGAGCACATGCACAGGACAGGAATGGCTGGAAGGGGCCTGGCCGCCACTCACCAGCTGTCCACTCAGGGCTACTCGGAGGAGCTTCATCACGTTACTGTGTTTGGTGCCTTCCAGACCTTCTGACAGCTTCCTCAGTTCTCCATTCAGCACCTCCTGAGTTAAGCTTGTACTGGGTCCTTCGAAGAGCCTAGAAGAGGCCAGTCTGTGAGGGGCCAGCACTGGCCAAGGGCGAGTGGGTGGGAGGAAGAGCCGCTGAGGGTTATCAGTCAGCTGCAATGGAAGTGCACGACCTATGTGTGGGGGCAGATCAATGACCCCCACCCCCACTAAGTTGGGGCCAAAAGAACAACCAAGGGACCATTGACCAGAGAATCCAAGAGGGCATAACACAGGGAAACCAAGAGGCGCCAGAACAAGGGTTCCCTGACTGTTGCCTCCCTGTCCCGTGATCTCTATGCCCCAGGTTTCTCACCCGTAAAGCGGGGATAATTACAGTGCCTGCCTCTCATGAGGCAAAGGAGGGCTAAGTCAAAACTTGTAAAGCCACAAGTATGTTGCCTGAACACTGCTAAGTACTCAAAAGTGTTAGATCTGGTATTTCAATAAAAAGTTAAATTAATATTTAATCAAGTGCTCAGAGACCGCAGCTCTCCTGTTGGCCTGTAGCGACACTGATATTTTTTTCTCTTTTCCTTAGTAAATTTGCCATGTGTTGATGAACAGGAACATCTGCTGAATTCTTTCTCAGAGGGACCCAAGAAGCACAAACACTGAACCCCATTGTCTGAACCCCAACATGAGGTCACATGCTACTTGTCTGCATATCTCAAGCACCATGAAGCTCCTCAAAGAGCTAACTGAACCATCAAACTATTCTTTGCCGACTTAGAAAACCACATCGGCTGTGACCACATCATCTTCAGGTAAAGATGTTGCGTAAAGGTGCTGACGCTGAGTGAAGAGCTGGGGGTCAGGACGCTGGCAATGAGACCCAGCTCCTCTGAGTACTGCTGCTTCACTCCTGCAGTGGCTCAGCTCCATGGTTACTGAAAACAAAACAAAACTTTCAGCCTAAAAAAAAGCTTAGAGTTGGGCTCTCCCTGGTGGCACAACGGGTTAAAGCACAGCACAAGAAGTTAGCAGCAGCTGCTTCAACCTGCCTCAGGTCCCTGCCAGAAGCTGACTCACATGGCACAGCAGACCTCTCCTGACCCACTCGCTGCCCCCCTCAGCAGTGTACTTTGTCCATCTGCCTGTCCTGCTCCCCACTCTGTCTCTGGTGAAGCCTCTCACCATGCTAGCACCTCTGGCCTGTACCCCAGTTCTGTAGGCATAAATAAATAAATCTTAAAAAAAAAATGCTTAGAGTCTACCAAGAAATGTAGGATTAGATTAGACCTGGGCCAGACAGCTTACACCCTCTGGGGAATGATCTGCAACACAGCAGAGACAGTGGGTCGCACAGGTAGCAGTAAGCAGGAGCTCAAGCCCTGCCACCCACTGCGGCAACTGTTCTCCGCCCCAAACTGAAAGCATGTAAGGATTTAAAACCCAACGAGCCAGAGCTCTCCTGCCCTCCTGTGATGATGCAGGTGCTTCTATTCTCCTTTTCCTAACAAATCTGTCCTTTTAAAATACAAAAGAAAAAAGAAAAAGAAAAACTCCAATGGGCCCACAACCGCCCTCCTATCTCCTGACAGTCCAGTTGAGGTCCTCTCCCAAAGGCAAGCTTGAGTATCAAGAGAAATTCCCAGCAGTTACAGCAGGGTTTGCAAAACTGTCCCTCAGGCCTGATTCTGAGTGAGCAGGGCGAGGCCAGTCAGTTCCAGGGCACCTGCTGGCTCCCCTCGGGCGCTCCTGAGACTCCACAGTGGAGAGGGGCTGCGGCAGGAGAGCTCAGTGGTACAGACCACCCCTGGTGCCAACTCTGACACCACCTGCTCCATCCAGACAGTGGCCTCCTGCAGGCAGCTGAGCGGGCACTCACGGCTCAGGGAACTAGCTCGTAAGGAATCTGGAGAAACAGCCTTTTAGCGTGGAGCTCCCTACTAACTGTCATACCTGGGCAACTGGGCCTGAATTTGAGATAAAAAAAAAAGATTGTTCTTACTGTAGTATGAACTTGACCTCATGGTTACTGTACGTACAACATTACGAAACTCTGACATGGGGGGAAACAGACACTCTCCTCAGTGTCACTGCGGGGAAGAGGCTGCCAAAGAGCTGGTGCACAGCGGCTCAGGCCATGTGGGAGCCGGCCAGGGCATGGTGGAGGCACAGGAAGGACTTCTAGAGATCTGGCAGCTTCTGAAAGCTTGAGTGCCAGCTTTTCTGACTTGAGGGGGAACCCCAGAGCCTCTGAAATCTGATGCCATGGCAGGAAGGAGGGGTTACTTTAGTCTTGGGAAATTAGAATAGCCCTTATCTATTCTAATGTGGCATGTCTTGAATTAAGAGAATATCATTAACAGTAACCTCTCCGTAACACAATGAGGCCCATCCATAGTGCGTCACTGCGTGAACAGCAGTGTGGAAGCAATCCAATGTCCTCACTGGCTGATAAGAAAATTGTGGTCAAGTAAGTGCACAGGAACAGAATCAGTGCAGCCATGGAAAAGAATGAAGGTGTTCTCAACACTGAGCAGATGGAAAGGCGAACTGCTTAGGGAAAAGAAAACCCCCAAAGGCACAGAACAGTGTCACTGTAGAAAAGGGGGCATAATAAGGATTACTTAGGACAATTAAAAATAGTAGTAATACACCGGGCTCTGGAACAGGGGACAAGGATAAAAAAAATGGGACTCCTGTAATATACCTTTTTAATGATATCTAGCTTTTAACCCAGTTTTAAAAGACTTGAATGTATTACTCATCAAATACTGCATTTAAAATCTTAAAATTTTTGAAAACAGAATGCTACATACAGGTGCTTGAATACACAGACGTTCCCCAAAGGCAGCGGCTTAGCGTGGCTGCCTGTCTGTTGGGCTGAGGGTGAGGGAAGGCCTACTCTTGCTACTGGACCCTGTGGCACTGTTATGTTCTGCCATGTGTTTACATCCTTGTCTCTTCAAAGCGGGTATGACAGCACAACACTGACGGTTTCCAGCTACCTACCAGGCGCTGTGAGGCACCTCGCCCCAGGTAAAAGCAACAGGGGGTATGATCAGAGTTTCAATCCTCCCTCCACCACCTTACACACTGTATTACTTAGACACTCACGTAGCTTCCCCTTGCCTCAGGTTTCTCATGTGTAAAATGGGACGACAGTACTTACTGCAGGGGCTGCTATGCTATAAGCGCACGCACACCCGCACAAACCCAGCCATACGGAAGTGGGTGACACAGAACACAGCACACTGCAGGCTGTGTGTCAGCTGAGCACATGTGTTTGTTCTTGTCTAATTTGACCTTCACAACCAAGTGAAGGCAAGTAAAATGGACAGTTGTGGGGTTTGCTGTCGGGCGTCCATCCCTCTTTTTCTGGTTATCAGTGCCCCAGGTCTCTCTGAGAGATTACCGGTTTCTGTGTTCTGGGGAAGGGTCCGCTCGGGCCTCAGCCGAGCAGCACAGCACATTCCCCAGGCCGAACAAGTCCCTTCGCTTTAACCCCAAGACGTGGCTAGAGCCGGAACTGAGGTTTTGCAGTGCGGAGCCACGCAGCTGTCTTCCCAGTACGGTGGAGACCTGAGGCCGTGAGGGCAGCTGCTAATGATTCCTTGGGGTCCTTCTCTCTTCTGTATGAAGTAACAAGACCTTTAGCTGAACACATAGCTGCCAAGTTAAAAAACATTTACCAGATTGCCCTGCAGGTTGGTGTAGCCCAAAGATAGGCATTCTAGCCTAGAGGCATGGGTGGACGTTACTGTGGAACCCTGAAGTTGGGATGTCCTGTCCCTTCCCCGTTTCTGCCTTTCTCCTCTGACTCGATCACGGATTGCCCATGAGCCACCTTGGACAAGAGCAAAACTCAGGGATGGCTGGTCCCTGGGGATGTGGAGAAGAGCTGTTCAGCCTTAGACTGCCGGCTCCTGACTCTATCAAAGGGAACTAACTTCCCTATGGGTGAGCTTGTGTCTGTGAGAGAACCCCACCCCATGCACCTCATAGAGGGCCTCTGCAGAGTGGCCAGCGTGGAGGGGTGGAGAGCAAAAGGTCAAGGGAACTGAGGAAGAAGCAGGTCTCAGTGACCAATCTTTGGTCCTGCATGAGGCTGGGCCTCTCATCAGCCCGTCCACAGCCTTTGCAGTTACATGCTAGTCATCCTGGGCTTCCCGTCCTTGCCACTGGAAGAGTCCTGAGTCACTGTATCACCAAGAACTAGTATCATTTCCACCTCAGAGATGAAGAAACGGCCCTCAAAGAGGGGCGATAATCTGGCCAGAGTGAAGCCACCTGGGTAGGTGAGTAAGTGGCGGCTCTGGGCGGGAGCCAGGTTGCTCCTGCGCCTGAACCAAGAGGCCCAGGTGCCTCTGCACAAGTCCTCCTACCCAACAGAGCCAGAGCCGTGTTCGCACCAGGCGCCTCTTCACTAGCCCAACAAGCCGCCCTGCGTCAGGCGCCTGGGGGGGTGAGGGGAGGAGGGCACAGACGCCTGAGCCGGCTACGGGGACTCACCGCAGCACGCGTGTGGCGACCTCATCCACCTTCTCCAAGATGGTGTCCAGCTGCGCTCGGCCCACAGCGGGGCGCATCCACAGGTAGGCGTGCATCGGGGAGACCAAATCCTTCAGGTGGCAGATGTGACCCTGGGGGAAAAGGCAGGTACTGAGTGGTCTGCGGACAGGGCTCTGAGACGTCACAAGGGGCAGGAGCCGTGCCACCTTGTATGTCCCGGGGCTCCCAGCCCCCACACCTGTCTCAGCAGAATGATCCTCTCCACGTAGGCGGGGTCCAGGACGCTCCTGTCCCGCAGCTGGCTCCCAAATGCCTCCTCCACGAGGGCCTGCAGCCTCCCCACCAGCCGGCGTCGCTGTGTCTCACTGCTCACTAGCCGCCGGAGGTGCAGTCTGTAGAAACCAAGGGAGCCTCCTGCTTCAGGCACCTCCACACCTCCCGAGCTCTCTCTCCCCGGGAGGTGGGGGTGGAAAAGGCTTTGCAGAAGGACACATTAATAGGGACATCCCTCCGCAGGCCCACAAGCAGAATTTTCCTTACACTTCTAGAAGGAAAGGGCAGCCTGGAAACATGCAGGGTTTGTAAATACGTAGCTGGTATTTTAAACTAGAGGAATAAGCAGTTTCTGGCTTCTCAGGGGAACTTAGATCTGACTGCAAAGAAGCCAGGGGATGTGAATTCCCTGGGCTCAAGCAAGGAAGGCAGCCAGACCAGCATTCAAGAGAAGCATCAAGAGTCCCTCACCCCCTAAGAACAAGCTGTCAGCTGCCTTTACTGTTACATCCTCAGATGAGACACATCAACGACGATCTGAGGCGTCACTGCATTGGAAGGTTTCACAGAGATTAAGGACTTGAAACACCTGGGATGATGGGAGAGGCGGTGCTCTTTCTGGGTGGTGATGGGGTGATTGTGAAATAAAGGTGTCCCTCGTAAGGCCACGGATGTTAATAGAAGTTGGTTTAGGAATGGAAAGGATGGAAACAATACCTACCACACAGCGGGCACTACCTGTGTGCCAGGCACTGTGCAAGATACTTTGACGCAACATCTAACTAAATGAACTCTGACATCAATTAAACAAGGCTGGTACTGTTATGGCCCTGTTTTAGAGAAGATGAAAGGGCCAGATGACTCACTTGCGGGCACACAGTGTTTAGACACCTGAGCCCAAAGTCAGGTATGTGACTGAGGGCCCACATACCCTCTGTCAAGGGGACTGTTCAGCAGCAAGAGAGCCCTTCCTACCAGGGGCTGTTCAGGTCTCCACTCACCGGTTGAATTCTGGGAGCTTCTCCAGATCCAGCAGGGCTGAGTGGCAGGTAATCCGGGACAGGTCAAACTGTGATATCAGCTCCGGCAAGGTCCTGCCCATCTGGTTATCTGCAAGGGAGCAAAGCTCAGGCACTCAACCACCTGTCTGCCTGCTTCTGCTTCCAGACACTGGGAGGCTGGCTGAGCATGCCCCGGGCCTCCCATTCCACTTTGGCCAAAGGGATTCAACTTCCAGCCATTTTATATATCCAGGATCTAGAGATGCTTGCCTTTGCAGAAAGGGGTCTGTCTGTCACTAGGCAAAGTATGCATGGAGACCCCGAGGCTCGAGCACTGATCTCTCACAGAGGTGAGCTCGGAAACAGCACACTTGCTCTCTAGCTGTGTCCCAGGATTCTGCTGTTGACTGGTTTTGAATGGAGCCTGAGCACCAGTATGTTTTACTGGCTGCCTGGGTAACTCCAAAGCCAGAGACAAGCAAGCTGGGCTTCCCATGAGCACCAGTTCTGTCCCCAGCAGTATACATCACGGCCAGGCACAGGCCTAAGGTGAGCTCTGCATGTCCTTCTTCGCTGTGTGGCTCAGGCAAGTTACTCAACCTCTCTGAGCCTCACAGGCCTCATAAATAGTAGGCCTAATTGCTATCTAGCTCTTAAGGATATATATTTTTTTATATCCAAAAGGGCAGGTTTATTATAAAAAAAGGACAGTTGTCTCTGAAAGGACAGGTTTGTGAAAAGAGATGCCTGCATAGTCGCAGGCGGGAAGTCTCAGGATAAGAGCTGCTGGGTATTTTTGTTTCTTAAGAACAGTTTAAGGACTATGTGACATATCGACAAAGTAACAGTACGCAGACTATTCTTGCCACGCTTTCAGAAATCCTTTCTACAAAAGGCCATCCTACTTGGTCCTGCTTTAATATCTGGCTCTAAGTCTTGGGCCTAAGAGAAGGGCTCAGCTTGGGATAAACTAGAGTGCTGGTAAGACTAAGCATACTCCAAGAGTACCTTCGTGTACCAGCAGTAGTAATATAACTGATGGCCACGGGCTCCATCATTGGTTTGCTAGTATAGCACATAACCGTGCTGTGCTGAGCTCAGTGACTCCTAACTCCAGCCTAGGAGTAGACACTTAGACCCACTTCACAGATGAGGCGGCTGAGAGCCCATGAGCTGCTCAAGGCCGGGAGGATGTCCATCCTGCTCACTGTCGTAGCTTTAGCACTTACAGTGTCCGGCTCAATGGACTGCTGCAGGATAGAGGATGGAACGTGTCCAAGAACATGCAGCTGGTAGGTGGCCTGGAGGCCTGCTGTGGGCCCACCGTGCCCACAGCTGAGTGGGTACCTGCAAAGCCTGAGCCGCAGTTGGTGATGATGTCGAGCAAGGCATCGGGCAGGAAGCCGGCAGCTGCAAAGTGCTCCAGGAAAATGTCCCCTTGCCTCTTGGACAGTTTGCTGCCATCCCGGTTGAGGAGCAGCGGCAGGTGGGCAAAGCGAGGTGGCGGCCAGCCCAGGGCCTGGTAGAGAAGCAGGTGCTTGGAAGTGGAGACCAGCCACTCGGAGCCTCGCAGCACATGGCTGATGCCCATGTGGTGGTCGTCCACCACGCAGGCCAGGTGGTAGGTGGGGAAGCCATCGCTCTTCAGGATGACAGGGTCCCCCTCCACGCTGGCCACTTCATGCCGACTCCAGCCATACACCAGGTCCTGGAAGGCCGGTGCCTCCTCCTCCAGGCGGAAACGGATGGCAGGCTTGGGCTCCTTGGCCAGCTTCTGGGCCACCTGCCCCTGGCTTAGGTTCCGGCACCGATTGTCGTACCTGAAGGGAAGCAGAGCAGAAGAGCAGCTGAGAGTACAGGCATCAGTCCTCTGCCTCTGAGGCCTGTATGACCTCAGCAGTTTCCTCTTTCAATTATCTCCTGGCCTCCAAGGCCATGCTAAGGAGATTGTTATGTGGAAAACCAAGTGAGAGAACATAACGCAGGGGACGCCGCCGTCTGTTGCCCCACCAGGCTGTGCTCGTAGCCCTTGCGAGCGGGGAACCCCAGTCTGAGGGGCGGGATGTCACGCAACCCCACGCCCGCACGCCAGAGAGCAGTCCAGATAAATAAGCCCATTCTTGTCACCAAAACTCAGAAGTGTCCTGGGGGAGGAGGAGAGGGTTAAGTTCTGGAAGAGTCTCTAAGCAAGAGGAAGAGAACACAGGAGGAAAATCCTTTCTTAAACTTCCTACCTTCCCCTGCTGTCCGAGGAGAGAATGCTTGGAGCTACTAGACCACTTTCAACTTGTGGGGGGATGCAAGAGAGGGACAGAGGAGACACAACAGAGCCCCCACATCTGCAAGCTGTCATTGTTGTCCTGGTGTCCCCACTTCCAATTGGGGAAGGTGACAAATGTCTGTGTGCTTTAGACGCCAGCCTCTCACATGTGGCTGTGGATGCCTGGCCTCAGCCTCACTCGGGAGTCTGTGGGGTGCAGCTTCTCAGGATCCACCTCTCCCCCACTGATGAGAATGTGGAGGCGCAGCTCTCTGCTTATTCACAGTGCACCCGCACAGCACAGCCTCTGTGGGAGCAGCTCTGGGGGCCAACGCTGGGATGTGGCCACCGCAGGGGCCACTTTGAAAGGCCGTGGCCACCCTCTGCACAGCGTCCAGTCCAGTCTGCAGTTCCATGTTACAACAAAGGGTTGATGCTGGATGGAAGGGAAATTCTGATGATTTCAAGAAGGTACTAGATTTAAATCATGGATTTCAAGATGCTACGCTGTGCTTAAAACCAACTACTATAAACAAAGAGCAGAAACAGAAGGAATTATTGAAAACAACTTTTGAAAATTTCAAACAAACTGAAAGATTCACCCATGACCCTTACACATGAATCTAAATTCTCTATAGCTGTATTGAGCCACTTTGGTTTATATTTAAGACAACTGCAGTGAAGAGATTCACACACTAGCAGTCAAAGGTAAATAAGGTATATAAAACTGGTAATTTCAGATTAAACAGATATGCTTTTTACAAAGCATAAATTTTAAAAAATAATATAATTGTTTATTATTACAATAAAATATTTATGGAAAAAAATATACCCTGGCCGAATCACAAAGACCATGCCTGGAGTGTGTCCTTGACAGGGAGCTATGTGTCCCACCAGTCAGTGGCTGCACGGAGGCCACGATTCATCTTGGCTGTAATAAAGAAACTGCCATGGGTCAAGTGCGACGTTCCTAATAAGGCAAAGCTTCAGTGAAGGTCATGACCTTGTACAAATATCAGATCCCTTGTCCAAAGAATACATTGAGACTAGAATTGAACGGATAATGCTACCGCTGATGTGAGCTGAGTCAGCAAGGGCCACGAGGCAGCATCTACAAACCAACCCTGCCGAGGAGGTACATCAACCAGGGAACTGCACATGCGCAGAACAGTGCCCACTGTGTCATCGCTGACAGATCTGTTTTTTAAAGATTTACTTTTATTTATGCATACAAGAACCGAGGTGCCGTGCCACGTGGGTCAGCAGCCTGGCCGGGGACTGAACTCAGGCCACAGTGGCTGGCGATTGCTTGACAGCACTGAGACTGTGTTCCCTGTGCCACCAGGGAGGCCCAAGTCTCTGTTCTAATAATGAAAGACTGGAAATGACTTCAAGACTCTTTGATAATTTGCTACCTAAGGTGACAATGGCAGAGCCACACAGTGGAGCGCTATGCAAGCCTACGAGCAGGAGGGACTGTGGCAGAGGGGGCCTCAGACATAGGCAAGAACAAACTGTACATTTTGTGTTGCCATCTGCGAGGGGGAGGAGGGTAACGTGTGTTTATCACAGAGGCACTGAATGTCTCTGGAGGAGGTAAGAAAATTCTAACACCAGTTGTCTCTGCAGAGGGGAACTGAGGTCAGAGTTAGGACAGAGATTTTCGTGTATTTAGCTCTTTGGATCTTCTAAATATGGAGCATGAGAAAATATATACAACTACTATCTTTACTGCCTGGCACCCAATGTGGGAGGCAGCTCTGACATGGCCCCAGTGGTCCCACTTCTAGTGTTTCTGCCTGTGTGTCCCTTCCCCTTACGTGTGGGCAGGACCAAGTGACTTCCTTCCAACAAAGCACAACAAAAATGATGAGAAGTCACTTCCACACCTAAGTTACAAATACACTCTAGCTTCTAGCATGTTCTCTCTTGCACACTCTGAGGCAAGCAGCTTTGAGAGATGCCCCAAGAGAAAGTGCCCAGCTGAGCTGTGTTCAGACTCCTCAGCCACAGAAACTGTGAGACAAGAAGATAGTTTTGGGGCAATCTGTTATATAGCAACAGCTAATGAATACACCGAACTCTGGGGTGGCGCCTGGGACACAGCCACTGGCTTCTTACCGGGGTGTCTGGCGGTTCCTCAGGGCCTCCTTCTTCAGGAGTTCCAGCCGCTGTGGTGAACAGAAACAGGGGTATGCTGCTCCAGTCTTCAGCAGAGCTTCAGCGGCCTGGGCATAGAGCTCAAGTCGCTGAGACTGCTGGTAGGGCCCAGCTGGACCTCCTCGGCGGGGGCTCTCATCCGGGGGGATGCCTGGAACACAGGCAGAGAAAACAGTCACCAAATAATAGTAGGACGTACACAGCGTTCAGTCCAGCACCAGTCTAAACGATTTGCATATACAGCAAAGCTTTTAATTCTTGCAGCAGCCCACGATGTGAGTTTCCCTTTTATAGGTGAGGAGATAAAGCACAGGAGGCATGCCAGGATGCATGCGTGGTGGGTAAGGAGTCGTTCAGATTGTACTGGCACCACAGTCCACATGCTCAGCTGCACGTCCTCTCCATCCACCCTTCCCCTGGGGAGAGAGGAACTAGCCCAGGCCTCAGCTGACTGAGGATGTGTGAGCCCCAGAATGTAGGGACCTGCCAGGATCTCAGGAAGCTGGAGAAGCACTCCCACCTGGCAGCTGTTGAGCAGGAGTAGCGTCTCCACCTGTCAGTAAGGAGCTGAGGCAGAGAGAGGCTCTGCTCTGTGCCTTGGCCAAGGATAAGGAGTCCTGCGAGAGTTAGAAGGCCAGTGCCTGACCGGTCACTGTACAGCCTCAATGTTCCTCAGCCTTTCTGGGGCTTGGTTTCCTGCTCTGAAAAGTGGAGCCAAAGGTCTGCTATGCAGAGTGACTGTGGGAACCGAATCCATCCATGCTTCCAGAGTGCTTGAGCCAACGGCCCAACAGCTGACATGCAGAACAGCTGCATGCAAGCTGTTAGAGCTGATATAATCTGTTTGCCAACCCCAACCCAAGACCCAGCTTCCTCCAGACACAAAGGACAGATTCAACTCTAATGGCTTCCAGACGAAGGGACACAGGGGAACTGAACGCTGGCCCTTCTGCCCTCCAACAGCTTTCAAATGACTTTGGAAGTTAAGGGTATGGTTAGCCCTGCTTCACCAGAGACATGCCTGAATTCACACACACGGGCCAGCAACAAAATCTTGGGCCAGTCACCTTTCAGAGCTTCTGCTTCCCTTTTGTCATTCACAACCAAAAAGTTGAAATAATCCACATATTCCTCCATCACGAATGAATACATGTGGTAATTTCCATACAGTGGAATAAAACATGGTGTTTCCATATAATGGATACTGTTTGTTAAAAGGAACTAAGCCGTAATACATGCAACACCATAGGTGAACCTTACACCACATAAAAACCAGCCATAAAAGGCCACACAGCACATTCATATGAAATGTCCAGAATGGGCAAATCAGAAAGCAGCGGAGTGATGGGCGAGAGCTGGAGGGTAGGGAGTCGCTGCTATGAGTTCGGGATTCATTTTGGAGTGATGGGAATGTTCTGGAATTCAACATGGTTGACAGCTGCACGACCCAGTATGTACAAGAAATCACACTACACTGTCCACTTTGAGTTGGTGGACTCCACACTATATGAATTACACCTGAGCAGGCATGACTCCAGGAGTTCCAGAAGTCTGCCACGAGCAGCACCTCGATACAGGACCTCTGCATCCCCAACACGCTGGGGCAGGAGAGCTCTGCTGAGGCGCCACAGGCCCACCACACAAATGGTTTACACTGGAGCTCCACAAGAGTGGCCCACCAGGAAGTCTTGTTCGTCACCTATCCCTGGCGCCTGACAAGCAGGTGCTCATGAAATGGATGCTCTCCCCCGAGCCTGCAGGGCACAGCAGGACCGGCTCCTGTCAGCCAGTCACCCCCATCTTGGCCACTACTGTGCTTAGGCCATCCAGCTGCTCCTCTAATCGACCCAGCACATTTCTTCCACAGGACCATTGCATCTGCTTTTAGCACCAAGCCCCTAGCAGCCATGTGGCTGGGTCCTCACTTCAAGTCTTCTCTAAGGTTGCCTACTCAGAAATCCATGCACCCCCACACTGGTTCCCTAATCTGGCCCTGCTGCTCCATGGCACTTGTCACCGCAGACTATAGTGACTGCATGAAACTGTTCCCTCTTCCCACAGGTCTGTTCAAGGCTGGCAACTTGGGTTACCGTTAGTGATACTGCTGAATGAAGTCCTGAGACCTGCTAAAGCGTCTTCAGCAGAAGACAGGTGAAATCACTTTCTATCTTTAAAAACCCAGAGGCCAGTTAATCATTTACCAGGAGTCTCAGAGCCATCTTGATATTTTGGCTATTGCACCTGGGAAGCTTAACTAGTCATACCTGTCCTGGCAGGTGGGCAACTACTGACCCAGGGAACACAAACACACTTTGTTCTCCCCGAGCTCAGCTGTCCTCAGATTAAACTTTCCGCAAGAAGACTGACTTCAGAGGCCACATGAGTTTTGTTTGGCTTATGCAATATGGTTAAAGAAAAAAAAAATCCAAGGTCAGACTTAACAATAGGCCATATTCATGAAATAAAACAAAGCAAAAACCCTGGAGTTCTGGCTCCTCCTGGGAATCCGATGATCTGGCCAGCATTCCACCTGGAAACAAGCAGCTGGCACTTTCTCCTGCTCCCACAGGCCTGTGGCATCCAGTTCCCGGGTACACTTGGCTGCTGTTTACTATCAGCTCCCAGTACTGAGGCTGAGATAATGACTTGAGTTTCTGACATAAGAACAGCAATCTCGGAACAGCCTCAGAGTCCCAGCACAGAGAGCTTCAGCATCTCTTCCGGTGGAACCAGCCACCCCTACTAGCACAAGTGGCCCCATATTTCCAGGAGCCTTCTCCAAGAGAAGCCCTAGACTTTGACCTCCCTGCCCCTCCCTTGGAAAAGGGTTGTTCCCCGCCCACCTCACCTGCCCACTCCAGCATGTCCTCGATGTTCTCCGCAGCCCCAGGCACAAGGCGGGTCTGGTCCGTGTCCTCCAGCCTCAGGATGAAGCTTCCTCCATGTTTCTTGGCAAAGATGTAGTTGTATAAGGCAGTCCGGAGGCCGCCCAGATGCAAGAAGCCTGGCAGAAGAAAGAGCAGCTCAGAGAAGACCATGGCCGATGAGCCTCACCTGAGCCGCTAGGCAACTCTTCTTGTGCTAGAGTGTTCCCGTGAAGGTCAAAGCCTAGCACGCTGTGACCTCGGGCCCATCAAGAGCTCGAACCCAGACACACAGGACTGGGGTGGCCACTCATGAGTCCCTTACCCTGGAAGTGGAAGACTACCTACATCATTCTACTGGAGGTTCCAACTCTCCCCAACTGCACCTGCCACTCTATTTTGATATTTGCCTCAAGGCCAACTTTCACCCAAAAGAGACATAAGAGGATTATGCATTGAAGTCACATCACCTGTGCTTAATTTACACAAATTCAATGATGTGGCTGGCCAAAAAAAATTCAATTGTAAAATTACATTTCACATATTTTCTCTATGCACAGTATGTTGCTACCCACATTATACATTTTGAATCTTGTCTACTTGAGTTTTCTACCTTAAGTTTTGGCTTTAGACACTAACCAAAAGTATTATATGACTGTCCTGTATTCCTCTTCATTTGAAGTTAAAATCTTAACATTTTACTTCTTTATCAGTCCCACTTGAAAACTTGAAATGATCGATTTTTTTCAGGGCCACCATTTTCCTCTCATCTTTCCTTCTTTGGTTCAGCCCACAGCCCTATTTCAGCATTGAGCTCATCTGCTTGTCTACAGGAGGCAGCAGGGACAAGAAGCTCTTAGGGTGGCAGGCAGACTACAGTTCAACACTGATTGCAAATGCAAATTTCAGTTAGTTATTGCAAGGCCACCATAAACCAGTGGTCCCCAACTTTTCGTAAGTGGTCCTTCAACTGGGGTGCAGACTAGTGCTGTCTCCAGTTCAAAACCAAGCAAGCACAGACATTAAGCATAACTGTTTAGAAACTGAGAGCAACTTGATAAAAGAATTTTAAATCTGTTGATGCTAATAGAACAAAACACGGCTTTATTTTGTATGCCCTTGAGTCTCCTTTTTCTAGTAACTTATTTACATTGATTTCTGTAACCATATTGACCCACTATTGAATGTATATTAAATGGCAGCCCTTGCACAATGGATTGAGAGGCACTGCTGGACATTATACGTCCTGTCAAGAAAGCCCTTACTCTTTGCAGTGAGATCTTGCCATAAACCTAGACTTAGAGGCAGAACGAGTGGTTTGGAGACACGTTTGGTGACCAAGGAATTGTGGTAACGGGTGGGGTGGCCCTTACAAGGTCGCTCCTAGGGTGGACGGGGCCCATGCCTCTCCCTGTTCTCAACGCCAACAGTATTAACCACAGGACCTTTGTACCTGCAACTATGTGCCTTTGCCCAGGAAGCTCCTCCTATAGACTTCACAGTTAGCTCCTTGTCATCTGGTTCTCAGCTCAAATGTTCTCGTATGGCCTTCTAGAGCCTCCCACCTAATCTGAATGCCCCCTATCCAGCTTTACGTCCCGAATAGCACGTGACTAAAATCAGTTATTTGTATACGCGTTTGTGGCAGCATTACAGTGCAGGCTTCACGCGAGCGGGCCCCCAATTTCCCCCTGACCGCTGCATCCCAGCGCCTCAAACAGGACCTAAGACAACAGTTGTTACTCAAGTCACATTTATTGAATAGATGAAAAGAAACCGAAAGAAACGGAATACTACAGCAAACACAAAGAGAGGCCCGGAGACGTGCACAATTTCCGACAGCTGACCCTTGTCGCCTCTGTAAAATGGGGTCGCTCTGCCCACTCAATCTGACCCCACCGGAAGGGATTCGCTCGCGAACATTCGGGGGCGGGGACGGGACGGTGGGCCTCAGCCTGCAGCGTCACGTCCGCCAAAGTTACCTGTGGGGCTGGGGGCGAACCTCACTCGCACCGCAGCCCCGGGATCAGTGCCCAGGCTGGCTTCCAGCCGCACCACTGAGCGGCCAAAGGCCGCCGGGGGCCTCCCCGCCCGCAGCAATCTCTTCAGGAGCACCGCCATGTGGAGCGGAATCTCACGCGTGCACTTCCAGGTGCATCACTTCCGGGGCTTGCTCTCAACCAATCGGCCTTCGCCACAGCGAGCACAGCCCCGCCCCTTAAAGTCGCAGTCCTCCTAGCTTGCAAGCCCACGCCCCCTCTGCACGACTGTGGTCCCAGTGGGCCTCTAGGGGGCGGAACCCATCGAGCAGACCATTTTCCGGACCCGCCCCCCTCTCTCCTACCCTCCCAAGGCTCCCAAAAACTAAAGCGTGGCAAGGGCCGGACCGGGGAAGCGGAGGAGGCGGGTCTCCATAGAAACCTCCACCTGTTTCCGGCCAGGCTGTGCGCGATTAGGGGCTGCTACCGGGGCCAATCTCAGCCAGCTCGCCTTTTCCCGGCGGCCTCTGCGGGAGCGGTGGGTGTTGTACACAATCATCATGGCGGCGGCCGGAGCCCCGGATGGTGAGTGTGGAGGGGATGGCGGGTGCCGGGGTTGGGCCGAAGTGAGGCGGGCGCTCCGCGGGACATGCGGCTTCCCCTGGTGCGGTAGTAGCCTGGTTTGGGAGCGGTGGTCCGGCGGTGCCCGGGTAGAGATCGACCTCAGGCCCAGCCTGCGGCGAGCGCCCACCCCCTAACCCCCTTGCAGGAATGGAGGAGCCTAGCATGGACACGGAGGCCGAGACGGTGGCGACCGAGGCCCCCGCGCGGCCCCTTAATTGCGTGGAGGCCGAAGCCGCGGCGGGAGCGGCGGTCGAGGACTCCTGCGCCCCTCCGGGCAGCCTCCAGCCGGCCCCGGCCCAGCCCCCTGGGGACCCCGCGGCCCAGGCCTCGGTCAGCAACGGTGAGGACGCGGGTGGCGGCGCTGGTAGAGAGCTGGTGGACCTGAAAATCATCTGGAACAAGACCAAGCACGACGTGAAGTTCCCCCTGGACAGCACAGGCTCCGAACTAAAGCAGAAGATTCACTCGATTACAGGTAATTTCCGTGGTACTGACAGCGACTGCCAGCTTTCCCCGTCCCGTCTGCCGATCCTAGTGCTTACTGTGCCAGGCACGGCGCTGGCTCCTTTCCTGACACCTGCTCCTTCAATCCTCAAACAGTCCTCCCAAGTAAGTACTGGTATGCCCATTATTCAGATGGGGAAGATGCAAGATCATAGAGCTTGTAAGTGGCTGGGTCCATTCTGAAGCTTAGGTCTAATCTTCTAACAAGCGTTGCCCAAGCATCTAATAAAAATCACCTGAGGTACTTAGGTATTAGATTTGCAGTTCCTTGGTTCTTCTCACTGGGCATTTGATTCAGTTGTTCTGGAATGGTCACGAATTTATACTTAGCAAATATGTTAGGTAATTTTCAGAACTTGAGGGAAACACTTTTGTCAAAGATCGTGCAGATCCTTCCACAGATGCTTATATTAGTTAACCTTATCTCAATTTACAGCACTTGTCATCTGATTTGATTTCTTTTTAGCACTTTCTTTAGGTAGACAAGAAGCTCCATAAAATCATGAACTTTGACATTACTGGTTTCGGTATTCCTGAAGCCTGTAGACTCTAGTTTAATAATTGAGTGAGTGATTGGATGACTGAGGAGCAATTCAGAATGAATCATAAGTAGTACTTACTGAACAATTACCGAACCCTAGCTGCTGTATTAGGTGGTCTTCATTCGTGTTATGTCATAATCCTTAAAACAAGTCTGTATGGAAGAAACGGTCGCTGTTATGGTATAAAGTTCTGGAAACAGAGGCTCAGAGAGGTTGTGAATTGGCCAAAGGTTCTACAAAGGTAGAACAGTATTCGTTTCCAAGTGTTTTGCTGAAGTGTTCTGGTTCAGATTCAGTTATCCTTCCTTTCATTGTTTGTTCTTTACCTTTTCTCAAGGTCTCCCGCCTGCCATGCAGAAAGTCATGTATAAGGGACTGGTCCCTGAGGATAAGACGTTGAGAGAAATAAAAGTGACCAGTGGGGCCAAGATCATGGTGGTTGGCTCCACAATAAATGATGTTTTAGCCGTAAACACACCCAAAGATGCTGCACAGCAGGACGCAAAGGCGGAAGAGAACAAGAAGGAGCCTCTCTGCAGACAGAAAGTGAGTCCGTCGTGTGATTATCAGTCCTGGGAAGTTGGAGGCTTTGTCCTCTCAAACCTTGGCTGGTTGTATTCTCCCTAGAATAAGCTCCTTTTCGGACAGGGCCCATGATGGAAATTTATGGCAGCAGTTGGGTGCGGCTGGCTGTTGAGTGGAGGTGACAACTACCTGAGATTTGCAGCTTTGTCTCATCTGGCTGGTCAGTGTGTTTCCAGTCTACCTACTTTAGGATAAGGCCTTTGTAAAGGCAGGCTTCAGACCAGGTATTGAAAGGCTTCAGATGTGGGGTGCTCTCCTGTTCAGTGCCAGAGAAACATGCCACTACGTTTTATACAAGTGCTTACACATTATGTTTTGGTTTGTGGCTTCCGCCATGTCACAAGCCCATGTCTGGATAGGCATGGATATCGACATTTTAGAGCTTCCTCTGAAACTGCTTCCGGAAGCCAAATGAAAGTGACTAGAAAGACAGCTACACTGATTTTTTTTTTTAATCTCTCCTGATTTGTTACATGGGGACTTGATTTTTCCCAGTCTCTGTTGCTTATTTTGTATGAACAGATTCTGCCTTGTCTCATGCTCATTTTAGCCATTTAAAAGTCTTTATAAGTAGGGAAAGTAGCTCACACAGAAGGAACTGGTTGGGAGAACTTGGTCTGACCAACCAGTGAACCCCACTTGTTGCTATGGGGCCTCACGGCCACTCTTTATTAGTCGTATTCCAGGAAAATAGTATTTTTAACTAAACTGCTGTCCTTACCAACTTGAGCGAACATCATTTTGAGTGACGTGGGCACCAAGGCATATGGCTGGCAGTGTGAGGACATAAATTTGTGTCCCACGCCTGCATTTCCACATGCATACTTCCAAGACCCAAAAAGATCTGAAAACCAAAAGTGTTTTTAAATTTGGCAGCAAAACCCAACCAGAATTGGTGTGTCTGTTCATGTTTTGCTGTAGAAATATTTACGTGTTTGGTGACAGTGCTGCCCCATGATTTGTTAAACTATTACCTTTATAAAATTCCTAAAATGTTTGGACTTTATAAAAGGCTTACAAACCCCACTCATCTATGGGGTTACAGATAAAGGGTAGATGGTAAATCTGTATTAACATCTCTAAAGTGTTCTCTTAAACACTTTCACCCCCAAATTTGAGGTCATAATGACAAAAAATAGACTGCATTTCTATTTCCCGACCCCCCTCTGCCACATGTCAGAAACCATCACATACAAGCATGTGCGAAGTGAGTGCATGGCCACTGGTCCTGCCATGGAACATAGCCTGCCTCTAGATCCAGGCTCCAGGTCACTGAGAGTCGCTTAGCTTGGAACTGTTGAAACTGTTTGCCATAGTGCAGGGAATTTCTTCCAGAGGTAACTTTCAAGTTTTGATTCAGATGACACTTCTGATTCCATGCCATGAGGCATGCCATGACCTAGTGAGAGGGACCAAGTGCCCAGGCTCTTTATCGGCTTCTTCCAGAGGCTGGGGCTGACACACATGTGATTCCTTACTAGCATTGTATCCCTTCTGGGGCTTCTGTCATGCCAGTGAGCTTTCCACTTGGCTCAGAGCCGCTTGACACTGAGATTTGATTAAGTTTTTACCCTTCACCCATTTGCCCCATGGTGCTGGCTTTACCGAACAGTGACTGGACCTGTAAAGCCACGGGGTGGAAAGCAGATGCAGTCGTCGTCTAGGCCAGACCCGGGGACCATGAGCCTAATGAAACCCTTCATGAGCCACCTCAGCGCCTGGGGTGGGGTTAGGCTTGTTGACATCAGGCACTAGCGGAATCAGCATTTCTCTTTGGAAATGTGTCTCTAAGCTTTCTGCATGACTGGGGCTGTGGGTGGGGGGAGGGGAAGGTCTTTCACAGCCTCCATTTGTTGAAGAAAGGCCATCGCTGGGGGTTTCTTTGGGCATTGAGTTGATGGAAACGGTTGTCAATCTGAGTATGCCTGCAGAGCCGCGCCCTGTGTGGCTCTGGTGTGGTGTTTAATCTTTCGGTAGTGATTTGAGTGATGAGGGTGTGAGATTTATTTGAATTAACAGTCTGAAAAATTCTAGGTACTTTAGAAGTTTGATCTAGTAGTCATAGGTGGCTCATTAAAGTTACATAAAATGAAAAATTTAGGCCACATTTCACATGCTTCATCGCCACACGTAGCTGCTGTTTTGGACGATAAGGCAAACATTTCCACGGGCATCTCTGCCGTTTAGTAATAAAGCATAATCTGTAAACGAAAGCTTTTGAACCCGAGCTTTGAGGCGTTCTTCATCCTCTTCAGAGAAGTAGTAGCGTGACTAAAATGCAGTCCTCTGTGTCATTTATTTATGTTTTCTGACTTGTGTTATAGCAACACAGGAAAGTATTGGATAAAGGAAAACCCGAAGATGTGATGCCGTCTGTTAAGGGTGCCCAGGTAAGCTGGACTCCTTATGAATGATCTGGACAGGAATCAGACCTCTGACTGCCCCGGCGCCTGAACTCCAGTCCTGGGGTGCTGTCCCTTTTCTCTTGCTTGGTCTGTGCACCACCCACCCCCCTCACCCTGCTCCTGTGCCTCCAGGAGCGCCTGCCCACGGTCCCCTTATCGGGCATGTACAACAAGTCCGGAGGAAAAGTGAGGCTCACCTTTAAACTCGAGCAAGACCAGCTGTGGATCGGCACGAAAGGTACATTTTTGCTCTGGGCCCCTCCCTGGCTCGCTGCCTCTGGCACCCAGCAGCTCTGGGCTTGGGTGCGGTTCGGTTCGGTTCGGTTCGGTTCTGTTCTGTTCTGTTCTGTTCTGCTCCGCTCCTCATTCCGAGTCTCTCTCGCTGTGCTTTGCGTGCTCCTGGCTTTTTCACTCTGCTTTGAGACGCTCACCTGTTTGGACCCTTTTCCCTCATTCTTTCCCTTCTGCTGTCAGGGCCAGTGCATCACATGTCGGCTCTACAGTTGCACCCAAGTCAGTGGTACCAAACGTGTGGCCTGAGGCCAGGTTTGGTCCCCACACAGGGTGTCGGTGGTTTATACACAGCCTCTAAAAATGGGGAGATTTCACTGGGTCTGGTTTTTGTTTGGTTTTTTTGGCTTCTCTTGAGAAAAGTCAAAAGATAACAGCCATTCTGGATCCAATTCTCACGTGGCAGCGATCTGCTGGACGGAGTAGCGGAGGTGGGCACGCTGCAGCCCGCACTGCCCCCTTTCTCTTTGCAGATGTCCCCAGCTTCCTTCATTTACGCCTCCTGGTGGCCCCTGTAGGTCAGAGTTTGCCCCGTACTAGGGACCCCCTCCTGCCTGGTTGTCCCTGCCTGCCCCCGGCTACCCACCCCTGCCCGTGCACGGTGGGCCAGGCATGCTGTGTGCTGTTCTCTGGAAAATGTCTGTGACTGCCCTCCCTCTCCCTTCATCCAGATGCATCAGATCTTGCGAGTCTCCCTCTAGAATGACCTGTGTCCCTTTGTTTGCCCCTCTGCGGTGCCACTTAGGGCTCCCGCCATCTCTAAACTTGGCCCACTAAAGCAGGGTAATCTGTTACCTTGTGCCCATTGGTGCTTTTCCTGTCCCACACACCTGCTGTACTGGTTTTCCAGCACAGATTTCTGTGCTCAAATCAAACACCTTTGGCTCTTTAAGGCCAAGTTCAAATGCCCAGACATAGTGTCCAGTGCTCTCAAAAATGGGGCTACAGTTTTAACTTTTGAACTTGGTCCTGCCCTGCTTGCCCTGTCTCTCAGCGGCATCACCTCCTCCATTTCCCGACATGCTTTGCACAGCTCCACGTCTTTGCTCATGCTAGGCCCTGAGCCGAATGCCTCCTTCCTGTCCCTTGTTAATAAGATCCTCCAAGGTCCCACTTAAATGTCCTCTCCCGATGAAGCCTTCCCTGTGTCTCGCCGCCCTCCAAAGAATTGCTGCTGCTTCTGTTCATAGCACTTCCCTCCGCCCCAGTGCACTTGTTACTCACTCTCTGACTTGTCTGTCCCGTTAGATTCCTGGAGGGGACCGAACATGCCTAATTCACCTGTTTCTGGCCAGCACTGTAGGTATTCAGTGTGCGAGGTAAATGCTCAGGAAGAGTATAGGGGCCCGTCACCTGAGGTTCATCGGTTTCAGGGACAGGCCATGTAGTAAAATGGGCCTATGGATATTCTTCTTAAAGAAAATAGCTGGGGCAAGGGGCAGTGAGGAATGAGAATTTTGTCACCTAAAATCCAAAGATAAGTTTCTCCCAGTCCTCTCCTGGTTCTCAGACTAGAGACCGAAATGCTAAAACACACTTGAGTTTTCTGACAATTTGGCCATAACTTGGCACAGTGTGCATTTCCCATTGGACTTAAACTGCTCACCAGAGTGTTTCACAGAAGGTGTGAAGCATACCAGATTTTCCCAGGGCCTTTGAGCCGAGATAGGCCCTTCTCCCCAGGAGTCCATCCCTTCGTGCCCCTTTCTGCTCAGCTGAAAGCTGCCCCCTGTCAGCCTTCTTAAAGACTTCGCAGGTGACCTGCTGAGTTCTCATCACAGTGCTAATGTGCATGGGTCGCCCCTCTGCCCAGCCTCCCACTTTCACCTAGGGGCATCCTAATGGAAGGCAATTGCTAAGACTGATTTACAAGGTCTGTGGTGCCGGGAGGGTGGGTGCAGGCAGAAAGTCTGAACACTAGTCTGGAGGTATTTATCAGCCCCCTTGGGGGAGTATTTTCCTGTTTGAGGTTCTGTGAGAAATGTTGTGTGACTGCAGGGACTCTTGAGAACTTTCTGTACCTGTGTTGGGGTTTTTATTTCATCTCACAGGAGCAGCTTCTTTATGCTTTGGCATAAAGTTCTAGAAGAACCTGGCTGTGTTGTCGACCAAGCTGGCAAAAGCCTCCTTACTCATCAGCCTCATTACACAGCATGGCCACCAAGTGGTCGAACCTTCAAGGGTAGGCCAAGGTTGAGCTTCACATCCACACCCAGACTCCACAGCTGTTACTCCAGGCATTCGTCTCACTCACTTGCCTTGGTGTCCTGGCCTGAGTGTCACACATAGTCCCCTAGAAAGGCAGCTTGTTCCCAAGCTGGCTACCAACCACTGGTTTTGTCTTTGCTGGCAAGAAGCTGCCATGACCGTCCCAGCAGCCACTGGGGGCTTGATGAGCGCCTTACCACATGACCCTCAGGTCTCCTCTTGCAGCCTAAACTCTGTGGCCGTTCGTGTAGGAGGCAGTACTCACAGTCTTCGCCTGACCGAGCTCCAGGCGGGAGAGGGGACCAGGGGAGCACGTGTCCTGGTGGCAGGGCTGTCAAGCCTCTGAGCTGGCTGACGGCCGTCACTCAGGAATATGGGCCCAGGGCTGGTAAATCTTCTGAGTCCTCAAGAGAAGCCAGAAATCTTTTTGTGTGAAATCTCTGGACATTTCAAGATGACTAGTATTTTAATACATTTCCATCTTAAAGGCAGCTCCTGGCCACGCCCTGCACTGTTCTAAGAGTCACTGAAAGTCAGAACCTGAACTGCATCATCAAGGCTGTTCCCCCCACCCTTATTTTTCAGAGTCTGGGGCCCACAGAACAAAACAATGTCTCAGGTCACCTGCTAGCCCAGAACTCAGGTCTCTAAATTCCTTTTTGTCAGCTATTTCCAGTGTGGCCCTTTGCTGAATTTCCCCCCACAAAGGCTGTATAATTCTTACCAACTGGACTTACCTATTTGTGAGACCTCCGGTCCCTGAGGTGTCTGCTGCTTCTGGGCGGGGGCTTCCTGTGCCCAGGCACAGCCTCTCCTCTCCCTCCCCGCTTCACTTGGCTCACCCCAGTCTCATCTCACTCCAGGCATCCCTCACTGCCTCCTCCCTCTTACCTGCATCCTTCAACGTGCCGCAAAGTGTCTTCTCATGAATAGGTGGTGGTCTTGATTGTTAATCCTGAGAGGTTATGACTGTCTTAAGAGAATTTACAAGTGTGTGTGGGGGGGCGGGGGGCGGCGCAGGGAAGGGGACAGGTGGGAGGCTGGTCTGTTGGCTCTGGGGACAGAAACAAGCCTCAGGGCCTTAGTGCGGCTCCTCTGAGGGCCACAGGGGGCGTGCTGCTTCTGTTCTTGGCTCTCTTGACTTGTTCCTCTCCCAGCTGTCAGACACCTCAGTCAGTGCTGGGTTTGGGCAGGAGGATGGAGAGGAATTTCTTGGGTATTTATTAATCATCAGACTTCTAAAAATAAGACCAGCAAAGATACATCTCTGTACCTGCTATAGCATTGCTAGCTGTGGGCTCCTTTTGGTCCTAAGACGCCCCCAATCCCCCAGGAGGCTTTTGTGCTCCGATCAGATGGTTTCCCACCGCCCTGGATGGGAGCTGTTTGCAACTAGCCCTGATGCGGGGCTTCTGGGTCGCAGGCGTAGAACAGGAGGGCCTTTGAATAACCACTGTAATCCCTCTCAACTTAGAGCGGACTGAGAAATTGCCCATGGGCTCCATTAAAAATGTGGTCAGTGAACCTATCGAAGGACACGAGGACTACCACATGATGGTAAGTAGCCCCGCCTCTCGCTCGACTCCTGCTTCTGCTTCTCTGACAGGGAATGGATTTTTAACTGAGCTTTCTTCACTGGAGAGAAAACTCAGCATTCAGAAGACACACTGTTTTTTTGTGTTTTTCCCATCATCCTCTTAGAACTGAGCCCATGGCTCCTCTACTGCTGTTTGTTTGCCACTCCCAGCAGCCTGCAGGGCGCGTGTTCTCACTCTTTTGCCTCCTTATTTATAATACTTTTGTTTTTAGCCAGGAAAATAAATATAAAGAGGAGGAATGGCTTTTGTGGGTTTTCATTTTTAATTTTGTTGTGTATGAAAGGAGACCTAACCCCAGCTTGGTGTTCATGAGGGCTCCAGCAGCCCTCTCTGCCTTTGCTCCCGCCATGCCGCGGCCATTGAGTGGTCAGGGGCCCTGTGAGGAGGCCAGGTCTGTGCAGTCTAAAGAGGCTGCTCTCTGCTGACAGACAGTGTTGGGGGCACCCCCAGTCTGCAGAGCAGAACTCAGGGATGCCATGAGTGGAGCAACGCAGACCCTCTCCCCCACCCCCTTTCTCCATTCTCTTGGAGGGGCCACTTTAGAAATGAAGTTTAGCTGCCTTGACTCAAGTTGCTCTGACAGGAACCTGAGCTGAGCAGTGATGTGGCGAGGGTGGGGATTCCTGCTTTTCTGTTTGAGGTGGCATGTTTTCCGTGTGTAGCAGACACAGCTAGTGGTGTGAGTGGGGGTGGTGCTTCTGAGTCCACTGTAGAAGGCAGAGGTAGCCACCACAGAAAAGGGGTTGTAGCAGTAATGCTGCTCCCCGGCAGACAGCAGATCTCAACGCTAGGAAACAGCGCCCCTGCCCTGTTGGGGCTGCAGTCTGTGGGCTGCAGGGCTCTGGGGTTTTCCCCTGCTGGGAGCATGAGGGCTGTGGCCTGGGAGCTCTTTGAGGCCCTCAGGGCCTGCCCCCAGTCTCCTGGTCTCTGAATGACTGCAGATGGTTTTGTTTTTCCTGCCCAGGTATTTTCTGTTTGTTTTAAAGTTGGACTTCAGTATTTTGGGGGCCATGCCCTTATGAACCATGTATCTTACCCATTTGCAGCCCCAGTTAGCAAGGGATGGGGATCATTTTAAACATCTTTAGGACTGGTGTGGGAGGCTGGTGCCCAAATGGGTCTTTGGCTTAAATCTGCATTTCTCTCTGAAGTCCTCACTGGCAGCGATGGTTCTCACAGCTCCCTTCTCCACACCCGTTAAGTTGTACCTGTACCTCTGTCCTAATACAGCTATTTTAAAATATTTTCGCAGGTGCCATTTCACTAGTTAGATCAGGTATTAGTTCCTATTAACAAAGGGAAGCTGTGCTTTTTCACTTTAAGAATGTTTTAAAATAACAGAAAACTGCAACAAGCCCATAAATCCCTCAAGAAATGATAATTGTAAATATTTTGTAACTTGCTTTAAATCTTTTTTTTAAATAAAAGAAAATTTGGCAACAGTGAATATGTCCCCATTGTCTTCCCCCCCATTACCACCACCCTGACTTATCATCTGCTCCCTCCCATCTGTCTATGCTTCATTTTCATGTATATTCATGCGCAAGACATAGGACTTGTGTTTTCAGTTTCCATAAGTGGCATCACGATTTGTATCGTTCTACAACTGGCTTTTTGTATGACGTTATGATCTCTTTATTAGCTGTAGATCCACCTAGCTGTAGCTCACACCTTTGGAAAGTAACCCAGTATGCAGGTGAACAGGCCACTGTCACTTTTAGGCTTGCGCTCCCTTGCTGGTGGACACAGGTGGCTCCCGACTTAGTGTTCCCGTCAGGGCTGCTTCGGACATTCACGTCTGTTGCCCCGCGCATGTGTTGAGTTTCCCTAGGGCGGTGGTTCTCCCACTGGTGTCTCTGGAAGTTGTTAGAAGGCCAGTCTCCAAGCCCACCCCCCACGCCCCCACCCCAGTCAGGAGCTCTGACTGGGCGGAGCCGCCGGTCTCCTCACAAGCCCTCACGCTGGGCTGATGCACGCCCGGGTTTGGGAACCACTGCTTTAGGCTTGGCTGTGCTAAACTCTCCCCCCCTCTGGGTTTTGCTTTCGACAGGAGAATGGCCCCTCCCCGTTGCAGTGTTTCCTCCCGAATGCGCTCCCTCGCGCCCTCCCAGTGTGTCCGTGTCCGCGTGCACGTGTGTGGTGCTGCTGCTTGGCGTCTGAGCGCTGAAGTACCGCTTGGTTTTCCTTTTTCCCTTCCAGGCGTTTCAGTTGGGCCCCACGGAAGCCTCTTACTACTGGGTGTACTGGGTTCCAACTCAATATGTGGATGCAATCAAAGACACTGTGCTGGGGAAGTGGCAGTATTTTTGAAAGCACTTTCACCTCTGGCCCAGGAGACTGACCCAAAGTGAAGGACATTGCTGGGAGAGGCCTGCAGCATCCCTGGATTTCAGAGTTCTGGAACTTTGTTCAAAAAATCTATATCCAATCTAAGGCGATGTGGTGACTGAAGCCAGAGGTGATGGACTTTCACCATTAGCTTAATTTTAACTTAAAATCACCGGTTCCCTTTCTTGCAGTCAGCTTCATACCATTTTTAAAGTCGATACAGTGGAGATCAATAAATCTGAATTCCGAACATGTTGTGTGGAATACTCTTAAGTGTGTTGAGAGTAGGTCTGCTCATCTTGTTTAGAAAGGAATGATCGAAAGCTTTCTGTTTTTTTCCCCCAATGATTTGAACTGAAATTTTTCATAAATATTTGGTCGCAAACATTTGGACTGCATTGTGATGAGTTGGGTGTTTTGTTTTTCTCTTTTTCATATAAAATTGTATGCAAAATGGGGAGGGGTTAGTAAGCCATATTTTTCTGTCCCTTGATTCATTTTAATTCTTGCCCTTTTTTTTACTTTCTCACTTCCTAGATTTTAGTTTTTGTTTTAACAACCCAAAGATGTCAGTTCCTCTTTTTGTACCTCATCCATACTTCCTTTCCTGGCTTCCCTCCCGCCAAGCTGCTGCTGTGAACACGCGGTGGGAGGGGAGGAGCCGTGGTCTTGGGCAGGGAGCGCTCTCACTTGCTGTGGTGTCTGTCAGCAGCAGAGTCTCACAGTGACTCCTGTCTGCACGTTCTGCCCTTCAGGCCCCGTCTCCGCCGGGTCCCACTGCTGGCTTGATGGCGGCCGCCCTCTGGCTGAGCTGGGCAACGCCACGCCACACGTCAGCAGAGTCCCTTGGAGGAGCCGGGGGGACAGTTTGAGCCATAGAGCCACAGTATCTTCTTTCTTTGGAAATTTTGAGGAATCCCTCAGCAGTCCAACGATGACTTCAATTACGCGTCTCCCTTTGGTTCTTATGCTCATGCATTATGTTCAAGTGTCCTTCATCCCAGGGTTCAGAGATGCTGCCTTTCTCCAAAAGAAGACATCTGACCTAGCGGGTTGGCCGATGTACTTAGACATCGAAAATGGGATACATTGCTTTTCGTGGTTAGCTTGCCCTCTTCTGGTTTCAGCCCTCCGTTCTTCGTACACGTGAACTTCTGTTGTCTCCTTCTGGCTTGACTGACTGCCATGGGGAAGTCTCTTGGTGAATGATATCCTTTGTGCTGTTTGCTGTTTCTCTGCTGCTGTCTTTGCGATTCTCCTCTCCCTGGTTGCAGGCTCATAGTAAGGTTTGACAAGGTGATTTTCCAAACTTCACATTTTGGATTCTAGGCTGTTTCCCCTCATCCTGTGAAATGTGTTAGCATGTGTTCGCCTAAGATGACAGTCGTTCCTTGTGAGCCAGTTCATGGTGATATTCTACACCTTCCCCTCCTAAGCCGTACGTAGTTCAGGAATCCAGCCCTTGTAGACAGACTCTTGCTTTTCGTGGTTTAGTCATTGCCAAGTTGTGCATCTGAGCAGGAAAATCGACTCTTGCTTCTTTGGGGGCATCATACATATGTGAAGCGTAGCATCCAAGAAACTGTTTTTCATCCCTTGACAAAGGAGCAGCACCTGCAGCCTTTCTGATCTCATGGGCCTGCAGTTCACGGAGAAGAGCCTGCTGCTTTGCTGCCTGGAAGCCTCTCCACTTGGTGGGTCTACAGAAGACATGGTCAGGTAGCGGGTAGAGCATCATCTCGCTTTGAATCCTGCCCTTCCGTTGGCCAGTGTCCCTGTTTGGGGAACGCGTCCTGACGGGGGCCGCAGGCATCTGTCCCCAGGCAGTGCTGCTCCGAGGCCCTTCCCACCAGGTCTCCTGTCCCCCGTCTGGTGGCCGCCACGCCACCTGCTACCCCATCTTCTGGCTGATGGCATCTCCCTGCTCCCCGAGGGCCAGACTGCTTCCCACTCAGGCTGGTGTCATTTTAAGACAGGACCAAAGCCTGTGTGAATCTTTTTATTTTAAGTAAAATGGTGCTTTTTTCCTTACTTTGAGATAATATATATAAATAATATTGTAAATGACACCTTTTCGTACAGAGCTGTCTGAGTGTTGCTTTACAGAGCTCGCTCAGTGGGCTCAGGCACAATCTTGAGCTCTGGCTCCCTATCCGTCTGCACGGAGTCCTTGCCGGAAGCCCTGGGGAGAGCAGAGGTGGACAGCACCAGCCCCCGGGGAGAAGTATTCAGTGAGACCCACGTCCGGGTCCCGGCAGTATTCACTCTCGTCCCTCAGTCCTGTGAGCGGTCTCTCCCCACTCTCCTTGCCTCACGGAGCGTGCCGAAGCTGTGAGCCGCGGGAGTTCTCTCCCACTTGGTAGCCCTCGGTAGCGTCGTGTTACTCTCCTCAGGATCCTCTCCGCACAGGCCTGCCCTGGCAGAGCAGCTAGCTCTTTCCCTGGGGTCGTGACCTTCCCTCCCTGGGCAGAGCACCAGCCTGCAGGGCTGCTGAGGAGCCGGTTCCTGGTGCGGCTCAGCGCTCAGGCGCAGGCCTGGCTCTCTGAGCCCCGGTGGGCAGCTGCTCCGCTGGAATCAGCTAGCGATCTTCCTGCTGGACTTTGCCCACAGACGTCATGCCTCTTTT